CTACCCATCTGTGTCCGGTTGCGTTGAGTTTTGCTGTAGTGTTCACGTAAGTTAACGTAGTGTTCACGTAAGTTAACGGATTGTTATCAGTATACACCGTGAAATGCGGCGCATAGTACAAGTAATCCCTGAACTGTTCACATATTGCCCACTTTAGGGCCAAGAACTCTAATTTGCCTGAATGCAAATGATAGTTACGTTCTGCCGTAGTTAGCGTACGAGATGCAAAAGCAATCGGTTTGATGTGTTTATCATGCTCTTGATAGAGCGCTGCACCGAGTCCGTCCTTTGAAGCATCCGTAAAAAGAATAAACGGCTTATTCCAGTCAGGGTAGACAAGTACAGGTGGTGACGCTAACGCTTCCATAAGAGTGTTCAATGCTCGTTGGTGTTCCACACCCCATGTCACTTTCGTAGAGGAAGTCAGTCCACCCTTGACACCGCTGGATGTGTCTGACTTAGTYAGTTCGAACAGGCACTTTGCTATCTTAGAGAAGTTAGGTATGTATTGACGATGATAACCAAGAAGCCCGAGAAGTTTTCGTACTTCGCCGACCGTTGATGGTTTACACTCCTTCAAAGCAACAACAGCTTGTATACTCGATGGGTCAGGCCTATGCCCCTCCGCTGACACTATTCGACCTAGACAAGATACTTCACGRTTAAACAGTCTACATTTTTTTGGCTTCAGCTTCACTCCACTTGCACGTAAGCGACGAAGAACCATTCGTATGTGTTCAACATGATCCTCGAATGTCTTACTGAACACGATAACATCGTCGATGTAAGGAAGACAGATGTCGTCCCTTAGTCCAGTTAAACTGTTTTCCATGAACCTCTGGTACTCGGCAACGGCATTTTTCAATCCAAATGGGATCSGTACCCATTCCCACAATCCCCAGGGTGTCGTAAAAGCTGTCACGTGTCTTGATCCAGGGGCAATAAACCCTTGATGATAGGCTTTGCCTTGATCTAACATGCTGAACCACGTGTTTCCAGCTAAGTTGTCTAAAATGTCTTGAACGCGCGGAATGGGATGACGATCAGCCACAGTTTTGTTGTTCAGTTCTCTGAAATCGACACACAGACGCAAGTCACCGTCCTTTTTCCTAACACATACAATTGGTGAAGCATAGGCTGAGCGTGNCTAATTCTATTGTTTAATTAACACTATTTTGTAGTAAATAGTGGAAAGTGTTGCATACTTAATGTTTGTACTCTAACATATTGAGCTTGGCTCGGTTGCTACATAAGTGCATAATGCTATTCAACAAGTGGCATTTACACCTAATTGAAGAAACGTTGTCGGTTCCAAAAAGGTCAAATCATAGAAGCTAAGACCGAAAGGGTACTTGGGAAGACAAACAATTTGCCTAATTTCATAACAAACATCTCTCCAACATAAAAGTTTAAGACTATCGTGCTGTTAATCTTACTAGCTCTACTTGCTTAGTGTACACCGTATATGCAAATGTAATCCCAATTTAGTGGTACTCAAAAATCCCTTTCGGTCTTAGCTTCTATGATGTGACCTTTTCGAACACGACTACGTTTTTTCAATTAGGTGTATGCAACACATCACGCATGGCATGTATTTCAAGCTAGGTAAGCTGGAGGTGTACTTTGAGTTTGAAAATAAGGTGCCTTATGGACATCATGGGTACCACCCCCTTGAGCAACACCCCCTTGAGCACCACCCCCTTGAGCACCAGCAGGCGATGGGTACATGGCCTAAAATCATATCATATTTATCATAAATTACCATTAATCGACATGACTTTGCTGAACACGAGGTGTGGTATGTGGTTTTGAGATGTCACTGCACTGTCACTAAGTACCATCAGAAATAACTGGTCATCATGGTCAGTCATCATATTCTGAGGGCAGGAGTAATTGACAGACATCCCTGACAGCTTTAAGGTAGCTCCATTAGTTAAAAGGAATATGGGATATATATGCATCTGTTATAGCCTTCAAATTGCACGATTCCGAAGTTGATAACAATTTTATTAATCTTTCTTCTGAGTACTTGTCCACGACAATCTTTACAAGCTTCTTGTCCGA